TCAACAAGTGATGCACGGAGCAGGACGGGAACACTTCGTTGAGAGAGAGAGAGAGAGAGAGAGAGAGAGAGAGAGAGAGAGAGTAATCAGGATCACATGGCGTCGCCAGCGGCAAACTGCAAACACCGTGGGCTTGCAATGAAACGCACGTCTGCGATAAACTCATTGCATTGTTGTATCAGACTGTGTTTACTCCAGTTTTCAGCAACGCTTTTCACTCTGGGAGAGCCTGGATTGTCACGACTGCTAGATTTTGTTTTATTAGGTTGACCCAGAAGTTCGAGACATTTTCGAGCTTTTTTTCGAGTTTTGTATTCCAATGAGAAGCAATTTTGATCAACAATATATATGTTACCTTCATCGACAACTTGTTGCCAACCACCAGCAGAGAATGGTTGCCTTGCTTCCAGAAGCTTTTTAGTTCCATGTCGAGAAAGGCAGCCGAGTCATTTTTGAGGTGCTTTTGAAAATTGTATTTTTCACCCAGAAGATGGCCGCTGATTAGTTTAGATGGCAGTCAGAAAGAGCTAAGTCAGGGCTACACGAAGACTGTGGTGGAATTCCCCAGCTAAGCTTCAGGATCTCGAGCAGTGTCGTTTTCCAAACGTGTGACCCTGAGCTGTGGTGGAGTAGGCAAACATTGCTCGGTTGTGGGACCAAATGGTGAGATTTTCATCCCCCCCCCCTTGCAGTTGATTACAGTAGGGTTCGCTGGTTATCATAGTGCTGACAAGAGAAAAAGAAACCCCAACACATACACAGTATCACCGCCCTACTGGATTGATAGGATTGCGCGACCGGTTCCGCCCTTCCGGGGGATCTAGCCACTGACGCTTCCGGGAGTGATTCATCCACTTGCAACGTTGTTCATCTACGTATAGCGGAAGCGGGAGAGAAGTTGTAGACAGTACCCACAAGAGCTCCCCTTGGAGTATCGGTCAACTCATGAGAAAAATTTTGACCGAACTTCAATACTTTTTTAAGGGAGCAAGGTCCTCTGTCGTTTGTGCTTACAGTAAAGCGTAAGGAGTAGATAGCGAGATTATTTGAACGATTGGTTTTAACCAAGGAACACATCAGATCCAAATCCAAAGCAGGCCTCTCTGGAAGAAGCTTTTCTCCCATGTAGTAGTCACTCAAGCGAAATCGATCTCCATTTCAACGCCGTACTGAGAGTTACC